ACTGGCAGAGCTGTGCGGTCCGTTTCTGACAGCTGCCTGTTCCTTCTCCTATGGTTTTCCACTATCGCCCTGGCAGATCCCAGCTGGGCTCTTCCCATCCTAGTCCCAGCAAAGGCACAAAGCTTGTCTGTTGCTGCTGCCTTCCCCCTTGCTTAATACATCCAATACTTATTCCCTCTCGATGCTGAGCCTCTAGTGCTGACCACGTCTGCCTTGTGTCAAAGTGGAGCCCTCATCAGTATAGGCTGTAGCGTGGGGGTGAGGCATCCCTCATCCAGGACCTGGGAATAGCTTCGCTCCATATAGCCTGATCATAGAATCATAGAACCAACCAGGTTGGAAAAGACCTTTAAGCTCATCAAGTCCAACCTTTATGCCAGCACTGCCAAGTCCAACACTAACCCACGGCACTAAATGGTGACACTAAATCACTGATGCTGTCCCTGGATTTGTCTCCTTGGATTTCTCTTGTGTTGGTGGTGGGTTGTGCTTCAAGCAACACACAGAGAGGGGTTTGCTCTCACCCTTTCTCGATGGCACTGTACAGAAGGCTGCAGCTGGCCTTGTGCAGTGCCCCTGCTGTTAGAGCACAGCCTCTCTTTTCGCCTTGCTGCTCAGCATCCAGCCTCACTGAACACAGCAAAGGTCAGCAGGCAGCGGCCGCTCTCCCGAGGGGCAGCCTTCAGGAGGTGAGCACAGTGAATCTCTGCCTATTTTTGCCCGCTGCCTGCAGAAGAGCTCGTGGGCAAAGCTGTCCTCGTGCTCCCTCCCCTGCTCCTGGGGCTGCCGTAGCAGTGGGGACGGGGAGGGAGCTCTCCCCTTTCAGTGTGACTTGCAGAGCGTGCCTCGAGCCTGCTGCTGCCTCTCCCGCAGCCAGGCAGCACATTTATTTTTGGCTGCAGCTCGTGGTGTGCCTCTCCCTGTAACGAGGCTGGAGTTGGGAGCGCGGCTCATGGGACGCTTTGGCTCACTTGATTCCCCCTCTCCTGGTGGCACACGGCTTGCTTGGTTTAGCAGTTGGAAAGATGCCTTTCTCCAGCACCCACGAGGGTATTTCTGCTCACAGCCAGGCACTGATAACTCCAAGCATCCCCCCTGCCCCTTCCACAAGTGCCAGTTTCCTCCTGTCTGTAGCTCTAACTTCATCCCTTCCTTCCTCTTCCTCTCCCTCCTCCTCCTAACACTTAAATCCCTGGCCATGCAGAGCTGTCATGGGGATATGTAGGTCTGGGCTCCAGATCTTCCAATTTAGATGTCCCAGCCTATCTTCACAAGCCTTGGCTGAATTTTGACAAGGTGCTTATGGAAGTGATTTGGTTTACAACAGCACCAAGGGTATTGATTTTACAGCTTAAGGGGGTGCAGCAGGGGCCGGGGCTGGAACACAGGTAGAGTGAGAATGGTTCTCTTGTGTGGAGGTGGAGTGCGTCCAAAAAGTGATAACGGAAGCTGTCCCCAAAATCCTACAATCCCAGCCTGGTTTGGGTTGGAAGGGACCTCAAAGCTCACCCAGCTCCAACCCCTGCCACGGGCAGGGACCCCTTCCACTGGAGCAGCTTGCTCCAAGCCCCTGTGTCCAACCTGGCCTTGAGCACTGCCAGGGATGGGGCAGCCACAGCTTCTCTGGGCACCCTGTGCCAGCGCCTCAGCACCCTCACAGGGAAGAGCTTCTGCCTAAGAGCTCAGCTCAGTCTCCCCTCGGGCAGGTTCAAGCCATTCCCCTTGGCCTGTCCCTACAGGTCCTTGTCCCCAGCCCCTCTCCAGCTTTCCTGCAGCCCCTTTAGGCACTGGAGCTGCTCTCAGGTCTCCCCTTCAGGAGCCTTCTCTTCTCCAGGCTGCCCCAGCCCAGCTCTCTCAGCCTGGCTCCAGAGCAGAGCTGCTCCAGCCCTCGCAGCAGCTCCATGGCCTCCTCTGCACTCGCTCCAGCAGTTCCACATCCCACTGTAAAATGATGCTGGATGAGCTCCGGGTCCATTTCCACAGCTGTGATGTTTGGGATTGCACTTGGCTGTAACAAAAGGCTTCTGTGCATCTGTGGGTGCTGTGAGTGGTGCTCTCTGTGCTCACGCTGCTCTCCTGTCCCGCAGTGGGTGGATCGCGGCACTGTCGGAGCTGCACAGCAACCTGGCCGTGGCCATCATCATGATGGTGGTGGCAGGATTCTTCACTCTCTGCGCGGCTCTCTCCCTCTTCCTCCTCAAGCAGGTGAGTGGCTCAGGGGGAGGGCGAGGTCTCACCTCAATTGCAGGTGCACAGCTCAGGCTGCTCCTGGGGTATCCTGGGTTTGAAACCTCCTCACATCTGTCTGGGGTGAGCTTGACTTTGAATCGTATCATAGAGCCACAGCCTGGTTTGGGTCAGAAGGGACCTTAAAGCTCATCCAGTTCCAACCCTACCATGGGCAGGGACCCCTTCCACTGGAGCAGCTTGCTCCAAGCCCCTTTGTCCAACCTGGCCTTGAGCACTGCCAGGGATGGGGCAGCCACAGCTTCTCTGGGCACCCTGTGCCAGCGCCTCAGCACCCTCACAGGGAAGAGCTTCTGCCTAAGAGCTCAGCTCAGTCTCCCCTCTGGCAGGTTCAAGCCATTCCCCTTGGCCTGTCCCTACAGGCCCTTGTCCCAAGCCCCTCTCCAGGTTTCCTGCAGCCCCTTTAGGCACTGGAGCTGCTCTGAGGTCTCCCCAGAGCCTTCTCCAGGCTGCAGATGTAATCAGGGTGGTCAGATCAAAAGCTTTTAATCAATGTATTTGTGCGTGTGCTTCCTGCTTTGATGCGAAATGTCTTGAACACTTGCAGGTGGTACAGTAGCCTTTGGGGAAGGGATGAGAGCACAGATGCTGCAGTGAGGCAGGCCATTAACTGTGCAAGGTCCCAAATGTCATTCTCATCTCACATGGACCTTAGATTTCTTTTGCCTCCTTTTAGCTTGAGTTTGTCCAGAGCTGGTTGAGCAGAGTCCATTGCTTTGTTCACATATCCAGGGGCTACAGTCACTGCTGCCCAGTGTTCTGGGGCTTCCCAAAGCCTGGTGGCAACCACACAAGTGCCTTCCTGGGGATTCCCAAGCACAAGCCCTCCTTGTGATCAACCACGTGAGGGTTGTGTTTCCCCAGTTAACAGCAGCAGTGTGGCTCTGGGGAAGGCGAGGACAGGCTGAACTGGTCCTGTTGCCGTTGCTTCCTGCTCCATTTCTCTCTGTCTTAAAGGAAATAGCTGATGCACCTGCAAGTAAGTGCAAGTTCAGTGTCCTTGCCAGCAGAGTGCAGGAGGTTTTGCTCTGACACCCACTATTTTGCTGAAAACTCCCTTTTTTACGTGAAAACTAGGGTCTCCTGCAATGTGCAACCTCCCGTTCCGTGTGGGATGGATGCAGTGCCTCCAGCCCATCCTCTCCAGCTGCATGACAGCACGTTGTGCACCGCAAACCCACGACTCACGCTGATCTGTGGTTGTTTTCCCCCTCTGCCCCTGTTCCCAGGTGCACTCCCTGTACCGACGCACCGGAGCCAGCTTCCAGAGGGCGCAGGAAGAGTTCTCCCAAGGCATCCTCACCAACAGGAGCTTCCAGACGGCCGCTGCTGGGGCAGCCTCCTCAGCAGCACACAGCGCGTTCCGAGGAAACTAGCCCTTCCCTTGGCTCCCGCTGCCCTCCTTACCCCAACCTCCACTTCTCTTTGGGAAACATGCACTTTCTGGGGGTACCACGTGGTGATGCCGACTCCAGGGGGGAAGAGGCCTGGGTTTTAGCTGCAACCAGCCTGCGTTTGAGGGTGATCGGTTTTCCCTGTCTTGTTTTAGGGTGCGGGGAGATAGGGGAGACATTCTCTGAAGCAAATATATTTCTCTGTCCAGGACCTACCACGTGTTTGTGTGTCTTCCTCCCCTGGCCCTGTGTGTAGCAGGAAGGTGAGGGGAAGCAGGGCTTTTGTGTTATTCTCTCTTCTCTTGGTCTTTGCTATGGAGAACTTGGTTATCTGCTGTTTAGGGGACTGGTGGTGTAACGTGCATGTAGTTTATGTCCTTAATTTGGAGAGCAGGAACTGTCCTTTTGGTTTACTACACTTAAACGATGCTGCATTTCCGCCTTTTCCCTACTCGGCTGCCTGACAGGCAGGGAACCACGGCACAAAGGAAAACCTGGGAGCAGGGAGGGGTTAGGCATGAGGGGAAGCATTCTCCTGCTTCCTCCGCTGTGGCAGATCCCCTCTGTACTTCCACCAGGATCCTGCAGGTGCTCCTGCGCCCCGGGCTGCGTCTTCACTGCGGCCTTAAATGAGGGGAGGGAAGGTAACAGGGACTTGTTGCCGGGCCGGCTCTGTTGTTTGGGAGCTCGGACACCCCCGGACCCTGAGAGCCTGCCATGGAATTCATGCATGCATGCATGGAATTTTCTCCCGGGACAGCCCCTCCCTGCTTCCTCCTCCCACGTGTGAGTTTTCAGCTGGGAGCAAACGGCTTCGACGTGTTTTATTTTGGGGTTATTTTTCAGCTGGGAACGAACGGTTTCGACGTGTTTTAGTATCATTTGGGGGTTATTTTCCAGCTGGGAACAAGCGGGTTTGCTGTGCCCTGAGCTCCCAAAGCCGTGTCCCGAATGGGACATCCCTTTGGGTGGGGATAAGGCGCCCGTTGGGGCTCTCCATCCCCGGAGCGAGGGTTTTAACCCAGGTTGGACTTTGTGCCGTGTCTGTCCCTGTTTAGGGGTGAAAGTTGCATTTTATACCCCCTCTTCCCCAAGCGTGTGCCCGGTGCCCTCCTCACCCGGGCACCGGCACTTGGCTCCCCGCTCCCGTATCGTTACTGTCGGGTTTTGTTCCTCATCTTTTCATGTCGAGAATAAAGGTTAATAATAAAACGCCCGTGTGCGCGCCTGCAATCACTGCTGCTGCCTGCGGGGGGCGTGGCCATAACCGGGGGGGCGTGGCCATGACCGAGGGGCGTGGCCAAGGGACCAGCCCTGAGTAAGGGCAGCCTCGGGGGCGTGGCTATGAGCAAGGGGGCGTGGCCAGTCCCGGAAGGCGGAAGCAGCCCCGGAGGCCGGGTACCGGGGCCGGTCCGGGCATGGCGGGGTCCGGCTGGGCCCCGCCGCGCCTGGATGAGTTCATCCTCACCGAGCGGCTCGGGACCGGCACGTACGCCACCGTCTACAAGGCCTACAGGAAGGTAGGGCCGGGCCCCGCTGTGCCCTGCGGCCCCCGTCTCGGAGCCCTCCACGTGGGTGCCAGCCCCATAGAGCCCCTCTATGGGCGCTGCGGCCCCCAGCAGGGTTTGTCCCCCTTGGCGTGTAGACACCGGCCCCCTAAGGGTGGCCTTGAGCGGGGGTGGGTGCTCCCGTTGGCAGAGGGACACGCGTGAGGTGGTGGCCATCAAGTGCGTGAGCAAAAGGAGCCTCAACCGGGCCTCGGTAGAGAACCTGCTGACCGAGATCGAGATCCTCAAGACCATCCGGCACCCGCACATCGTGGAGCTCAAGGACTTCCAGGTGGGGCCTGGTACCCATGGCGCTGGGTGCCGCAGGCTGGGCTCGCCGCTCCGGTGGGAGGCGCGGTGTGAGCCGGTGCCTTCCCTTTGCCTCGCAGTGGGACAGCGACCACATCTACCTGATCATGGAGTTCTGCGCGGGGGGGGACCTCTCCCGCTTCATCCGGATGCGCAGGATCCTCCCGGAGAAGGTGGCGCGCGTGTTCCTGCAGCAGCTGGGTAAGGGCGCCCTGCCCTGGGGCCGGTGATGAGGGGGGTCAGGGGTGTGATGGTCCCCCCCCCACCCCTCCATTCCCGCTGTCACCCCCATATCCCCCCCCCAGCTTGTGCCCTCAAGTTCCTGCACGACCACAACATCTCCCACCTGGACCTGAAGCCGCAGAACATCCTCCTGAGCGCCCCCGAGCACCCGCAGCTGAAGCTGGCAGGTCAGGGCAGCGCCATGGAGGGGTCCTGGATGCAGGGGAATGGGGGGGATTCCTTCTCCCTGCTTCCCCCCCTCCCCAAAGCTCTCCTGACCCTCTCCCCCCCGCAGACTTTGGGTTTGCCCAGTACATGTCCCCATGGGATGAGAAGCACGTCCTGCGCGGCTCCCCGCTCTACATGGCCCCCGAGATGGTGTGCCGGCAGCAGTACGATGCCCGGGTGGACCTGTGGTCGGTGGGGGTCATCCTTTACGGTGGGTGTTTGCTCTTATTCCCCCCCCAGGGCTCGGTGTGGGGCTGGTTTCCCCCTCTCCATCCCCACATCTCTCCCTTTCCCCCCCCCCTATAGAAGCGCTCTTTGGGAGGCCGCCCTTTGCCTCCCGCTCCTTCACTGAGCTGGAGGAGAAGATCCGCAGCGATCGGGCTGTGGAGGTAACGTGGGGTGGGATGGAGATGGGGGGTCTCACCCATCGCAGGGCCTGTGCTCTCAGCCCCATTCCCTCCCCAGCTGCCCAGCCGGCCCCTGCTCTCCCCGCAATGCCGGGATCTCTTGGGACAGCTCTTGGAAAGGGACCCTTTGAAGCGCATCTCCTTCGAGCGCTTCTTTGCACACCCCTTTGTGGATATGGAGCACGTCCCCGGCCCCGAGAGCCTCTGCAAGGCGGTGAGCGGGGTGCTTGGGGGTGCTGGTTCCTGGGGATGTGGGGGACCAAGCCCTGAATCCCCCCTTATCTCCCCCAGACCGACTTGGTGGTGGAAGCAGTGAAGAAGGATCAGGAGGGAGATGCTTCTGCTGCCCTGTCCCTCTACTGCAAAGCCCTGGAGTACTTTGTGCCTGCTCTGCACTGTGAGTCCCCCCTTGAGGGGGTCCTGGGTGTGATTTGGGTGGACACATAACCCCAGGGGGTGCTGGTTTGCACCCCAACCCCTCTAACGTTCAGTCGCTTTTCCCCACCAGATGAAAGCGATGCTCGCCGGAAGGAAGCCATCCGAGCCAAGGTGAGATAAGAATCCCTTGGGATGCAGGGAGAGCATCCCATTTGGAGGCCATCCCTGTGCCGAGGTCCCCTCACACGCTGTGGGCAGGTGGGGCAGTACATCTCCCGAGCGGAGGAGCTGAAGGCATTGGTCACCTCCAGCAGCAAGAACCTGCTGCAGAGAGAGAACCCGGCCAGAGAGCTCCTTAGAGGTACCGGGGATGTGGGGCTGTGGGAGCAGGAAGGGGGCACCCAGTGGGGTTTGGGGCTGAAGGATGCTCCCCCTTGCAGAGATGGCCAAGGACAAGCCCCGGCTCTGCGCTGCGCTGGAGATGGCTTCTGCTGCCATCGCTAAGGTGAGGGGTGGGCTTGGGGTGCCCTCGAGTGGAAGGGGCAGGAGCAGCTGTGTGGGGTGGAAGCTGCTGCATCCCCCGATGGCAAGGGCTGTGTGATAGGAGGAGGAGGGCAAGGACGATGCTGACACCCTGGAGCTGTACCAGCAGAGCCTGGGGGAGCTGCTGCTGCTGCTGGCCGGTGAGTTGTGGCCATGGTGGGTGCTGCAGGGGCCGGTCCTGTGCGGGGCGCTGAGCTGATGCCGCATCCCTCTTCCCTCTGCAGCGGAGCCTGCGGGGAGGCGCCGGGAGCTGCTGCACGCAGAGGTGAGGAACAGCTCAAGCACAGCCCCGTGTCCCCTTGGGGTGGCTGTGAAGAGGCTCATGCAGACACTTCCCTCTCTTCCTGTGCCAGATCCAGACCCTGATGTCTCGAGCCGAGTACCTGAAGGAGCAGATGAAGGTATTGCTGCTTGCGGGGGGCTCTGGAGCGTGCTGGGGGGGGTGCAGGCTGGAAGCCTCTCCTCTCCCCTGGCAGATGCGGGAGGCGCAGTCCATGGGCAAGGAGGCGCTGGCAGAGCCCGTGCGGAGCAGTGAGTGTCCGTCCCCATCCCATCGGAGCCTGCGGTCCTGTGGTGGGGATGTTCCTGCCCACAGGTGATCCCAACCCCGCACACCTTCACCCATGCATGGGTGCTGGGGGACAATGGCTTGTGCAACACCCAATGAATGTCCCCTGTCCTCCCGCACAGCCTGTACCTTGCAGTGATGCCCGGAGCCGGCTGCTGGGATGCTGCTCACCCAGGGAGGATGGAGGGGCAGACAAGGCTTTCATCCTGCCTGCAATGGGGTAACCACCTTGGGGGGCTCCCCTGCTCAGGTGGGTCCGCAGGGCCATCTGCCTCCTTCCCTTCAGGCAGGATCCCCTCCAGCCCTGGCACGCCGTTATTCCACCCTAATTCCCTCCGCTGGCTGCCACGGGTGGGTGTTGTTATCCTGGCACCGGCTCCGGCAGGATCACCCCACCTCCCGCATCCTCCTGGAGGGGGGCCCTGAGCACCGCACAGCCCCGCTGGTGGGGCAGGCAGCAGGGCTCGGCACGCTGTGCCTTTCTCACCCAGCAACTACCTCTCTGCGCCCATCACCGCGCCTCTGGCCTCCATGGCCCGGCCTGGCCCTCCCTTCTGCTGCTAGGGGCTGGCGGGTACCGACTGCGCTGTCATCTGTGCCATGAGGGGTCAGTGCTCAGCGGGCAGGGTGAGCGCTCTTGGGGTCTCACAACCCCAGTAGCCCACTTCTATCCCCAGATCACCCCTGAGCCCTGCAGAGTCACTTCTCTGGGTGCTGAGGTCGCCTGTCCTGCAGAGCAGGGGCTCTCCTCCCTGTGTGCTGTGCTGCAAAGGGAATGTAATTTATTGTCTTGAATAAACACTTGGTTTGGGTTTCTCCATCTCCTCCTGTCTCTGGTTTGTGCTTTAACCCCAAAGGGGGCTGCAGCCGAGCCCAGGACCATGGCCCAGCCTGGGGTGCCTGGAGCCAGACCCCTTGTCTCTGTGCCCCTGGCCAAGAGCAGAGCTGGGGCATCCCCTTCCCTGCTCTCCTTCCATCTCCCTGGGGCCACGAGGCAGCCAAAGCCAGCCTTGACCTTGTTTTCACTTGAGATCCTTTGGGTTCTGTAAAGCACGGAGCAGAACAACATGAAAGGTTACGTAAAATCCCCTTTTCTCCGCTCAGTTGTTGTGGCGGGTGAGGGACAGGGGGGTGTGGGGATGGATTGGGGTCACTTTGGGGGGGTTCCAGGGCTGGTCTGAGCCAGGACCCCAGCAAAGCTCCTCCTGAGGCTGCCTTCCCCCTGGATGCTGCCCCATAACACAGCTTCTTCCCCCCTCCATCCCCAGCCTTTAGTCCTTATCCATCTGCTCCGTGCTGGGAGAGCTTCCCGGGCAGCTGGGGGACGGCGTTTCCATGTCTTTATTATTGTTGTTATCATTATTATTGTGAGCACAGATTATTCCCTGAGGCTTTAAAGCGCTTCCAAAGCCCCTGCCCTCGGCCCGTGGTGAGCACAGAGCCGCTGGGGACGGCGGCACCGCAGCCGGGGCGGATAATCGCATCTGCCTTTCCGCTCTGCCGAAGACACGGATGAATCCGGAGCGTTGGAAGCAGGAAGAGGCTCCGGGGGTGCCAGAGCTTGAAGGGGGATGCCCTGGCTTTGTGTTGGGTGGATGGATCCCAATTAACCCTGGTACCTGGAGCATCAGCGCAGTGACGCTGCAGCGGGATGGGAAAGGGTTCAGTGGAGATCCCGCATCATTCCGTGCTGGTTCGTTTGGTTCAGTGCTTAATGACTGCTCATTTGGGGAAAGCACTTGCTCACCAGTGGAAAAGAGGCCTGATCCTGCTGTGTAGGATGAGGGTCTGTTCCACAGCTGGTGCTGGAGGACCCTCCAGCATCCAGCTTGAGCAATCACCCCAAACCTGGCCTCATAGGTGTTGGAATTCTAGAGAGGTACCTAGCGTAGCAAAGGAAAATCTGGATCTTTCCTGCTTTAATCCACACTCATTCTTTGCTTGGAGTTTTCCAGCCTATGTGTTGATGCCCGGAGCAGTCGTATGGCATGCAGGCGGCCGGGATGCTCGGCTGCAGGGAATGAGCAGGGAATGACAGCAGACAGGATGCGCGTCTCCCTGGGCAGGAGGCAAGCTGCCTGCACTGCTCTCCCCCATCCCCATCCCCATCCCAAACCGTCCTCCCTGGCACAGCACCGGGCTCGGAGCATCCCCGGAGCTCCCGCCAGGAACGGGGAGGAGCGAGGGCTCCGCGGCTGCTTTGCTTTCACATGCCTGGGGGTCATGGAGCCTCCTAAAATAAACCCGGGCAGCTTCACGCGGCCTTTGCGTGGCAGCACGTGGGCTGGGAGCGGGAAGGGGGGCACATGCACCAGCCGGGGGCTGCTCACCTGCACCCAAGGGATGCATCCCGCATCCCTCCCGCATCCCTCCCGCATCCCTCCCGCATCCCTCCCGCATCCCTCCCGCATCCTTCCCGCATCCCTCCCGCATCCCTCCCGCATCCCTCCCCTCCCGCATCCCTCCCGCATCCATCCCGCATCCCTCCCGCATCCCTCCCGCATCCATCCCGCATCCTTCCCGCATCCCTCCCGCATCCCTCCCGCATCCTTCCCGCATCCCTCCTGCATCCTTCCCGCATCCCTCCCGCATCCCTCCCGCATCCCTCCTGCATCCCTCCCGCATCCCTCCCGCATCCCTCCCGCATCCCTCCCGCATCCTTCCCGCATCCCTCCCGCATCCCTCCCGCATCCATCCCGCATCCCTCCCGCATCCCTCCCGCATCCTTCCCGCATCCCTCCCGCATCCCTCCCACTGCTCCAGAGGGGTGTCTATTGATCAGGGCCTCCCCATCAGCCTGGGATTTAAAAGCCAAGCCATGCCGGAGGGCTCGGCTCGGTCAGTGCCTGCTCGCTTTCCTAGGGGGGATTAGATGGGCTTGGGCTCATCCTCATCAGGTATGATCCCTTTCTGGAGATAAAGCTGCTGCTGCCCATATTCCCCCCTTCTTTTCTCTGTGTGGGGCTGGCTTGGAGCAGATGTCCTCAAGGTGCTGGTGGGTCCCTGTGGGGCTGCGATGATGGTAGAGCATCCTGCCTGGGCTGCCTCTGTCCATCCTGGCAGCCAAAGCAGTGCCTGATGTCCTCTGAGAGGTGGATCCTGGCAGTGCTCAAGGCCAGGTTGGACACTGGGGCTTGGAGCAAGCTGCTCGAATGGAAGGTGCCCTGCCCATGGCAGGGGTTGGAACTGGGTGAGCTTTAAGGTCCCTTCAACCCAAACCAGGCTGGGACTCTATGGAAACCTCTGGTTTTGGAGGGTTTCAGGTCCCAGATGGCAGTACCAGAGGTTTGTGGGCAGGAAGCAATATCCTTTGCTCAGCCCCACATGGCCCCATCCAGCATCCTTGACTGTAGTAATCACAAGTAACCACCATCCCCAGCTTCCCCCAGCCTCCCTGTGCTCTCCTGCTGACCCAACTCCCCTGCAAAAGCACATCACACTTAACCCATCCCCGCCACTGGGAAATGGAGCAAGGCATTCCCAGCCTGTGCCAAGAGTTTCCCAGGGAAGCTGCCACAGGCGCCCACCTCCCCTGCCGGGATGCAGCCAGGATGGAGCTGCCCTGGCTTGGCCCTCTATTGGGCAATGCTGTGTCCTTGCTCGGAGCAGTGCCATGGACACCCCATGAGGCTGAAGCCATGCATGAGCTGAAGGCTTTTTACTCAAATAGCCCCAAATCTGTGGGATTTTGGGGGATTGTTGGCTTTTCAACCCATCTGCTGACAAGAACCCTTTTGTAGCATCCCTTTGGTGCAAAGCATGGCAAAGCACCCACCCGGAGCCCAGCGGGATGCTCCCTGCTGCGTGATGCTGCTGGAGGCCTCCCCTTTGAGCTCCCAGCCCCGCTCCCCTTGCTCTGCAAAGGGGATGCCCTTGATCTCTCTGCCCCCTAGGCGAGCCCTGCTCAAGGACAGGCGGAAGTGCATAGACATCTCCTGGTATTTATTCCACCGGTTACAACTGTACCGTGGCACGGGGACAGCAGAGGAGGCGGGGGGACACTGGATGAGCACAGCGCACAAGTACAGCACGACAGGGGAGGAGGAGGAGGAGGAGGAGAGATTCCCTTTCCACTTTGTTCTCCTGGGAGGAACAAGGACACAAGCGGCTCCCACCCCGGGGAAGGGCTGGTGTGGGCTCCGATGGGCACTGGGGAGCGGGGTTTATTCCTCTCTGGCATCAATCCAGGCTCCATCCCTCCGGTCCTCAACACCCCGTTCCCACTGGGCTCACTGGGATCGTATAGCAGGTCCTTCATTGCTGACTCCTTCCGGAGGGGCTCTCAAGGGCAGCGATCGGTGTCTCTTGCCCGTATGGAAGGTTAACTCTCATCTCACATCATGCAGAGCGAACCGGAGCCTCCCCATCACTCCAGGAGGCAGGAACCCGGCGCCTGGGCACCTCTCTGCGGGAAAGCCTTTGCCTTCCCATGCTGATGTGCTTCAATGACACCCCAAGGTCACTCCGGGCTTTCCTTCCCCGCTCTCCCTAGGGACACAGATGGGTGGGATGGGGCACAGGGGAACATGCTCTAACCTCAGACTGGAGAACAGGGCAAGAGCCACACACCAGGGACACCTGGGGCAGGGGTTGAGGCAGGAGGAGGACCCGGCTCTATGGGGCAAAGGGGGCAGCATCAGTGGGGTCTCTGCTGCAGGCGTCACTGCTCAGCTGCCCCCCTCCCTTCCCATCCCATTGGCGGGGAATGGGGCTGCTGCCACCTCACATCATGGAGCACTTCTCAGCCGACTGCTTCAGGTCCTCGAGCGTGGCCGAGGCTTTGTCCTTCAAGGAGTCGAGGTCCAGGTTCTGGATGTTGCTGAGCTGGCCGATAACCGAGTTCTTCTCTTCCTCCTCCTCGTTGTCCTGCTCGATCATCTTGGCCAGCTCCTTGGGCAGCTCCACGTCACCTCCCACCAGCTGGATCTGGTTGTCGTCCGTTTCGTTCTGCAACGGGCAAGGGGGTGGCACAGGGCACGTGAAGGGCTCACAGTGCTCCAGAGCGTGGGCTCTGAGCTGTCTCCTTGCACTAAGGTCCATGAGGGATGGTCCCTGTGGGGTGCCAGCCACGCTCGTGCTGCGGGTAGGATGCTGACCCCAAGGGGATGCGGGTGAGCAGAGCCTGGGCACACACCGAGGGACCCCAGGGTGCAAACACTGGTGTAAACTGGCGCTGGGGAGGGTTAGCACCCAGTTAATCTCCACTCAATGGCTGTGCCCACGGAGAGCAGGGCTGCAGAGCCACAGGGAGGCACGGCAAGAGGCAGCCAGGCTGCCAAGCGGCATCAGTGATGAGCAGAGGAAACTTGTCAGAAGATGAGAAGGGACATCTCGAGCATGGGAAGGATAAGGATCGGGGACCAGAGCTGAGCTAATCCCGCTTTCCCCCGGAGATCAAAGGGAATCTCGGTCCAGTTCTGCCTTTCCTCGCTTTTGGCAGGGGAAGGATTCCTTTTCCAGCTGTTTATTCCCTGGCAACACAAGGGGGGTTTGGAGCAGGGGGTGCTGAGCTCTAACAAACAGCCTCAACAATGCCTCTTGGCTGGGCGGACCTTTCCCAACTAATATTAGCCCGGCTCCAATTTAGGGTATTCACCACTGAGGCTCCTGCTGAATGAAGGGGGGGTTTGGGGGGAGAAGAGCTTGTAGCAGGTCCAAGAACGGCTGAATTCTGCCTTGATTGGATTGTTCCTGGTGAATCGTTCATCACCAGAATGGAAACCCCAAAAGGGGGCTTTAGGTAGGAAGTGTTTCCCAAATAATCCGGGCAGAGGAGAGGGCTAATCCAGCCGGGAAGGTGTAATTCCAGCTCCAGGGTGAGAGCCTGGGGTGACGGCTGCTTCCCCTCATCCAGCTGGATTTAGGGAGCCAAACAGAGGAAGATGGGGATGAAGCACGGCTGAGGGGGTGCTGGGGGTCCGGCTGTGTGGGTTGCGGTGCTTAGGAGTGACTGGAAGGGGCCAGGATTCACATAGGAGGGTGCTTTCGAGGGGAACTGGTTTGCATTTGGGCTTTGTAGCTCGGACCCCCCCCCCATCCATCCAAGCGCTGTGGTGCCTCTTCCCCATGCACAGAGCCCCCCGAAGGATGCTCTGGGGTGCCCCCCCCTCATGCCCAGCAGGGCCGTACCTTGGGGAGCCTGTACTTGTCTCGGAAGTGGGACCTGACCGTGGCTCTCTCTGCCTTGCGCTGAGCAAACTGGGCATCTCTCTCCATCCTGTGGACCACAGGGGGTTACCGGGGTCTGAACATCATCCATCCCCCCCCAGCCCGGGTACCCCCCATCCCCTCCGCAAAGCCCCATTTCCCCACCACTTCCTCCCCTCCCAGTGCATCCCGAAAGGAGGAAACAATCCCATCTCCCAGGCGAGGAAGCGGATTAAGGGATTAGGGGGTTCATTAGAGTCCCTCATAGCCCTGCTGTCCCCAGCGCTGCCCCCCCCCCCCTTCCAATGCGTGGGGCTGCAGAGGGGGCACCCCACACCGCGGTACCCACCGCAGGGCTCACTTACTTCTCCTCCACCAGCTGCCGCTGATATTCCTCATACTCCTCCCGGGTCATTCCCTGCGCCTCGGCCGGGGACTTCTCGCCCTCGCTCTTCTCCTCGCCGCCCAGGCCGCCCGTCAGGTTCTTCAGCTGCCCCCCCACCATGCTCTTCACCATGAACGCCATGGTCGCGGTCCCAGGGGGAGCAGGGGTGCCGGGGAGATGGGGTGCTGGGAGACCCGGGGGTCAATGGGGAGATGGGGTGCAGGGGTCAGGGTGGGGATGCAGAGTTAGGAGGAGCCGGGGAGCCGAGGTGTACTCGGTGCTGGGGTACCGGGAGTTACCGGAAAGCTGGGGAGATGCGGTGCGGATTCCCGGGGATCAGGAGTACGGGGTTATTGGGGAGCCAGGCTCAGCGGAGCCGAGTCCCGGAGCGCCGGAGCACGGGGTTACCCGGGAGCCGGGATGCTGTGGAAGTGAGTTCCAGGAGCACCGGATTACCGGGGAGCCGGGATGCAGCGGCGCCGACTTCCTGGGATGCCGGAGCAAGGGGTGATTGAGGAGCCGCGGTGCAGCGGAGCTGAGTTCAAGGGATGCCAGAGTACGGGGTTACCGGCGTGCCGGGGTGCAGCGGAGCTGAGTTGAAGGGATGCCGGAGCACGGGGTGATTGAGGAGCCGCGGTGCAGCGGAGCTGAGTTCAAGGGATACCGGAGCACGGGGTTACCGGGGTGCCGGGGTGCAGCGGAGCTGAGTTCAAGGGATGCCGGAGCACGGGGTTACCGGGATGCTGTCGGGGTGAGCTCCCGCAGCGCCGGGGTTACTGCGGTGCCGGGATGGAGCAGAGCCGAGTTCCTGGGATGCGGGGCACGGGGTGATTGAGGAGCAGGGGTGCAGCGGCGCCGAGTTCCCTCGCTGCCGGGTCCCCGCTCCGGTGCTCAGCGTGTCCCCATGGCGGGGCCGGGGCCGGGCGCTGCAGCACCGTGCCGCGGACAGCTCCGGTGTGTGCGGGGCGGCAGCACCGCCCCGGCCCCGGCCCCGTCCCCACCGCCCCCCGACAGGCAGAGGCGGAGCCGCCGCTGCCGCCACCGCCCCCCTCCGGCCCCGACCCCATCCCCGGGGGATGCCGTGAGCTCCGCCCGACCCCCGGCCCCCGAGCCCGGTGTCCCCCTGCGCCCACGGCCGGCAGCGAGCACAAGGAGCGAGGCGCTTCGCCCGTCTGTCCCCATCGGCCTGGTGCGGCGGGGGGAAAGCCGGATCTAACACCCTGTGAAAGCCATATGTGCCGTGCACACGGAGCAACTGTTGTTTGCTCGTAGAGCTAAGGGCTGCCGTGCCCAAACCCTTCTTCCTCTCATTCCTACTAATGGTATTAATTGCCATTAAAGCTCGCACCCGCTGATGTGCAACCCAGGGACGCACGCGTCCATCGGTCCCCTGGATCAATAGGCTGAGGCCAGAGCAGGCATTGATTTTGTTGTGTAATTCGCTCAGCCCCTCCAGCTTTCCTGGCTCCCATCCTGCCCCCACTCCCACTTCCCACTCCTGCAGTCTCCCTTGACTGCAGCCGTACCAGGGGCCTTAGGGAGTGAGCAATTAATGGCATCAGAAACGCACCTCCCTTCCAGATGGCCAGCCTGGCTTTCACGGGCATTTCTCCCTTTTTCCCTTCTCTGCTCATGAGCACGGCTTCAAACCCCAATCCCGGCTCCGGGAAATCATCGCATTGCCCAAATTCAAGGCAACCTCTGCAGATTAAACTGCTGGAACAGCTGTGAGGCGATGAAGTGAGCGAGGGAGGGGGAACGGGGCCATCTTTTCCCTTCCCCCTCACCCAAGTTGGCATCAGGCAGAAACGTGGCTTAAAGGGAAACTAGATCAGGAATAAATCCTGTATTTGCCTTGGATATTTTCCTTGGTGTCCCATTGGAAACAGCGTGGCCAAGTTCTGGCTGTCCATCAGCCAAGGACTGGGGGAAAGAGGGGTAGAGGGCAGGAAAAGCACCCCAGCTCGTGTCCCATGCCCAGGGCAGGCTTGATGCCTGGGTTGGTTCAGAGCAGGCTCTGGATGCGGCTGGTCCCGGGAGCGTTGCTCAGGCCGGATTTCTGTCTAAGCACTCACTAACAGCAAGAGACTTGAAGTCAGGACCGATTTTTTCCAGCTGGGTTGGATGGGTCAGCTCCCCTGTAGCATCCCTGTCTGAGACACGGAGAGGAAGCAGCTCATGGTGAGCAGCAGTGCTCGGCCAAGGCAGCGAGGTGAAAATGAGCATGTGAATACTCACATACGAGCTGTGTCTATGGGGATGGAGCAAAGGGCAAAAGGAGCCCTTGCAGCTCCTGGAAGCTCTCCAATCCCTCAGGCTCCTTGGCCCAGGCTCTTTCCAGAGGGCCAGTGTCCCATCTGGAGCAGCCAGAGGGGAAAGGGCCTTTGGAGGGTTGGGGATGCTTCAAGGTGGCTGATTTCCCCATCTGCTGTTCTTCGGGCAGCTGAACTGTTCCTTATCCCCTCAATGTATTCAAGTCAGAGTGAGTCATCCTCCCTGCCAGGACTCTAACCTGCAGTAATGAGATGTAAATCCTTGCATGACCTATTATATTAGCTTATGCTATATCACACATCTGCCTGGATTAGACGGGAGGGAGATGAAACGTCCCCCGGTAGCAGCCAGCCTCAGACAAGCCGGTGGAAGTTAAGAGGATCCTCTCTCAGCATTGACACCTGATTTGAATAGGATGCAAGCAGTTTGGTTTCCTTTGCCACGGTGAGAGGGATCATTTCAGCTCTCCGTGCCAGGTAACAGGAGAACTGACTCCAAAGCAGCAGCTGGATGCTGTCCCTTCATGTGATGCTCCTGAGACCCTACAGGGACCAGAACTGACCAGGATTCCTCCCATTGGGGCAGCCGCCTGCTCCGGGCACAGGGACATCCATCCGTGATGGTGGCAGCTGGGATGGCGCTGGGAGCTCAGCATCCACCAGGCAGGAGCTCTGGCCAGTGGTAGAGTGGCCCTGGGGACAGTGGGGGACACCTGCCCCCCTTCTTGGAGGTCCCCAGCAGCAAAAGAGCAATAGAACAGGCTCTGATTACACTTTAATGCTAATACTGATATTAATGCTAATACTAATGTTAATACTAATACTCTGAGCTGAAACAGAGGGAGCTGATGTAGATGAGTTGTGTGCCCTTGTTGGTTCAATCAGCTCCTCTCTGTAAACTCCTTCAGCTGTAAGAAGGCAACTATCACTCTGTGACAGCTCTGAAGAAGCTGTTAAGAAGATGCTGAGGTGCTGAAGTGCTGAGGTCAAATGCAGTGGGATCTTGTGAGGGAGAGCTTGGCAAGGGCCCTGGAGCTCTCTGGGACCACCATGAGCTTCAGCTGCCAAGAGCTCAAGAGAAAACACCACAGAATATAGATAGAATAGAATAGAAGCATGGAATGGTTTGTATTGCAGGGACCTTAAAGCTCATCCAGCCCCAACCCCTGCCATGGGCAGGGACCCCTTCCACTAGAGCAGCTTGCTCCAAGCCCCTGTGTCCAACCTGGTCTGAGCTCTTGACATAACATCCACTCGCAGGGGTAAAAGTGCTGCTGTGTCACCAGTACAGGGAATAGAGCAGGGGTAGGGAGAGGCTGGTGTAAAAGATCAAATGAACGACTTCCTTTCGTGGTACTCGGATGTAATTCAATGAAGCAAAATGCATCTGGAGTTTGCCTTGGCTGCGGAAGGTGCAATGCAACGCGGCATGGGATGGAAATGAAATCAAAGCTGCCTTGTCATGACCTAGGGAAGCCATTTCCATGTGAAACCTTCCAACTCCTATAGAACCAAGCCTCTGAGTGCCAAAAATCTGTTGTCATCGCCTAAGGATGAGGTCCCAAAGGGGGGAGGGTCATTTCTCATTTGATATTAAGCCTTCATTTTATTCAAGGAGAGTGGTTTATCACGTAGGCTCCGTCACACGTCATGAACACTTACTCCTTTCCAAACCCCCTCGTGTTTAATTGCATCCCAAGCTGTGGGGTGGCAGCAGAGCTGCCCTCAGCGTGGACATCACTGTCTGTGCTCAGGGGAAGAAGTCACAAGGTCCTTCACAGGGTCGTGCCCATCTCCTCTCTAGAAATACAAAATACTTTTACATTATTACAGTGTTTTTACCTTATTACAGTATTTTTACGTTTCTAGCATTTTTTTGATAATGAATGATAGAGTTAGCTTGATAATGGCCCTGGGCTGGCCTAGCAGAGCATCCCCTCTGTGGGACCTGGGAAGGGAAACTGGGATGCTGCTGAGATGTCCCCAGATTCCCTCCCATCCCCTTTATATCATAACGGGGCTGAGCGCGTGTTGCCCCCTTTGAGCACAGGATTTGTGTGGGATGGGAATGGTCCAGCCAAGGGATGCAGGCTTTGGGATGCTGCGGGCGCATCCCCAGAAGAGGAGGGTGACGAGGCAGAGGAGGAGGTCAGAGCACAGGCCAGGGTGGTTGTGACCCCTTGCCCGAGGAGCGATGCTGTTGTGGGGTGAGGAGGAAGAAGAGGGAGGTGTTCGGGGTGCGGGTTGGCAGAGCCTGCACCCGAGCAGTGACACAAATGCACCCGGACAGACACACGGAGCATGTAAACAGGCACATGGGGACACCATGTGCTGCCTCGCTGCCGGTGGTGCAGAGCCAGCCCGGAGCAAAGGCACACGCCAGGCGGAACGCACTCACACACGCACAGCTTTCCCAGGGGGGATCTTCCCAGCCTTGCCTTCATTTCCTGGAGTGCTCCGAAGGAAAAGGCAGAGCGGGATGAGGTGCACGGCGCCGAGCGGTGCTGGGAACGGCTTTGTGCTATAAATAGTGCTGGTGATAAAGCCAGGCGTGAGGGGGGGGACGTGCGGGCAGGGCACAGATGCCAGGGCTCTGGAAGCCCGCGCGTCAGGGATGGAGCAGAAGGAGCCTCGTCCGGCCATAATGGGAGCTTGTAGTTTCCTCTGAGCATCACTGAGTGAGGCAGCTTGGGAGGGGGCACCGTGCACCCCCGCTCTTGGGATGGATGCTTTGCAGCCCTGGGAAATGGGAAGCAGCGAGGAATTGCAGCTGGAATTGCGCTGGGAACAGATGGGCGCTTCGCTTCCCTTTGAAGTTTGTTGAGGGAGGGGAAGGCTCCCTGCACCCCTGGGGTAAGGGGAGAAGGCAGGGCTGGGATGGAGGGAAGGGTCAGAGCTAAAGGTCAGAGCATCTCTGCTGGGAGCAGGGATGGATGGGACAGGCTGCTCCAAGAGGGAGCGGGAGGAAGCAGGTGAA